CATCAAGTAACTGAGGCAAGTAGTAAAATTAGATTTAAAAAACAGGTAAAAAAACACCTTATGGAACAGCAGGGACTGTGAAGCAACACAAACATAGGCACAGACACATGCATACACACACGATAACATACGCACTATACACACTTACGTACACATGGATTTTGTACTGTAGATATGTGGTAGTGGTGGCGTAGGGGCCTGAGGGCACACAGTGTGTTGTTAAATCTGTGAATGTATTGAAATGTTTTAAAAATTGTATGAACTGCCTTAATTTTGCTGGACCCCAGGAAGAGTAGCTGCTGCCTTGGCAGCAGTTAATGGGAATCCCTAATAAATACAAACAAAGTACTGAGTAAAGGGTCTGAATACTTATGTAAATGTGATATTTCCGTTTTTTATTTTTAATACATTTGCAAACATTTCTAAAAACCTGTTTTTGCTTTGTCATTATGGGGTATTGTGTGTAGATTGATGAGGGGAAAAAACATGTAATCAATTTTAGAATAATGCTGTAACGTAACAACATTTGGAAAAAGTCAAGGGGTCTGTATTATTAAATGATGCTGATGTTCAAGATAACACTACTTTATATTCGTTGATAACTAATATTGAAAGGTGATATGATGCAATCTAAGTAGATTAGAAGGCTACTTCATCCTAATTTAAGATAAATGCATTGGATACAAAACAAATACTGGCATGTGATAAAGGATAACATGTCCAATATAATTATATAAATCCATATCAGACAGGAATATATATATTTAATGAAATGAATACAGCATTGTAATATTATTGCTGTCTTTCTCTTTCCTTGTAGGGGATTAGACAGATTAACTACAGTCACCAAATGCCGAGCCTCAAAACTAGAAGCATGTGGAGACATCAACACATGTCATTTTGAACATTTTTATTGGTTTTCCTGTATCTGTGCATCAGTCCTTAAAACAAAATAAGTAATACCCAAGTGAGGGACATCTCAAGGAGATTAACCTCTAACATTCATAAATTTGTTCAGTACCTAAGGGCAAATGTAGTCATGATAGCGACCGTTTTTTATAAATACACAGGACAGGAGTTTACAGGTCTTTATTCCAGCCCTTAACTAGGGCCGGGACGATACCAGTATCGTGATACTTGTTAGTATCGTGGCAAGGAAACAAAACATGAAGCGGATTTAACTTATTTAGGAAAACAGCCCTAATGTTGTCATCCAGTCACATTTGTTTATTTTTCAAGCTAGATCACACAATATTTTACATACAGCAGGTTTTTAAAGGACCAAAGAGTTCCTGATTTCTTTTTTCCCATAGAAAAAATATTGTGATACTGGTATCATCACAGCCCTAACCTTCACTAACACCCCTAATTCAACTAATTGTGGCCTAATTTCAAGACTTGCACACAGTGCAATCCCCTGGGACATGAATCACATCTGTATTTTAGAATGAGCTTCATAAGTTACAATGTCCTGACAAATTTGCATGATAAACAATAACATGGGTGAATCTATTTCTATCTAACATTGTGATGTTGCAAAGACCTGAATAATATCCTGGGATATGGTGATTATCCTGGTGACTGGGAGGTTCATAACAAGTTCTTTACATCTGCAGGGTCAAGTTGTTTACAGTAAGAGTAGAATAACGTAGCCTCTAATTTTAACTACTAACACCAACCCCAATGGTGCAGCACAATAGGGGAAGGGAAAGTGGAAATAGAAAGTTAGATAACGTTAGCTAGGTAAACAGACACTGCATGCAACTAGCTAGAAAACAAGACTCAACAGAATGCACAAATAACTTGGCTGGCTAGCAAGACTAGATTGAACATTACACAGCTGGCTGCATTTCCTTAGTTTTTCATCTGATATTGTTAAAATGTCTTACTTCCAAATGAGTCGGGCAGGACTGTTTTCTCCTGCCAAGCCAATGCAATGGAGTGAAACACGATCTGGTACCCACTTTAGTCCCTGAAAAAAAATGGGATTTTTTTTTTACTACATGTCTTTAGCTGGCTAGCAAGTTCACCAATTCCTGATTTAAAAACTGTCCGGGTCTTCACAATTGACACATTGCTGAATCTACGGTTAGTTAGTTTAGTTGTTCATCTCTTAACAGCCGATAAGCAGGATGAGATCGCCTACTAGCTAGCTTTCACTTCCGATGTGTTAGCTAGCTAGCTAGCGCAACGGGCTGATATACACCAGTTACTCAACATTTGAATTCATATGAAAGTAATTTGTTGAGCATTTTAACATAATATGTTTAATAAATTAATGTTATACTTACATTTTGCTACGTCTTTCCTTATTCTTATGGGAAACGTTAAACCAAGTGGGGACTGTCCTCCATTAAGTTTAATATTTTTTACATTTTCGCTATGCCACAAGGTGTTATGGGATAGCCTCCCTGGCGATACATGGGATTGGGGCATGCCAATTTTGACGTCCTGCCTAGAAATTCTGCCTCAAAAGGCAGCATCCTTATTATTGCCTGCTGATGTCTCGTTAAACCATCCATACGTGCTAAATTTACACGCACAGCTGATCTCAATTGCAACTATTATTGGTCACCTCATTACCGCTCCCTAAAAGATGCTTGCAACCAAAGTCTTTCAAGATATGTTCGATGTCTGGTTGGTATTGCATCGTAAGAACTTAGTCCTTTTTGAACAAACTAAGCCAAGAGTGATTTATCTATTTGACAAGCATTCCGGACAATATAAATAAAGTACTTCCTTGTTTACCACGCAAATCTACTGTGGCAATTTGCTCGACACTTTGAATGTTGGTGTAGCCTACTGACTTATTATTTTATTTGTTTCCTATTAATGTTATCCAAAAGTGTCTGGTATGGTCATTTCTTATGAAGATCGGGGGTAAAATAACCCTGGACTGTCCATGTTTGAAATGTGTAACTAAATCAATCAAACCCATATCAACACAGTAGGCCTATATGTGCATGCTGAATGTAGTCGCCCGAACCGCTAGCCCACCCCAGGTGACTGTTGAGATACATTTTGAGTTCATTCATAACCTTAAGATACACTAGACACTTGTATGTCATAGCTTAGTGGAGACCAATATCTATCTTGTCTTGATGCATCAGGAAAATTCTCTGTGGCAAAAGAGTGATCAAGTTAAGATCCGACATCTGTATCAGTATCGACACATGCCTCAACAATGCACTTAGCGAACGTTCTCTCTGCATGGTGTTTTGGGAAATGCATGTTACATCTTCGGCCGTTGTAGGAAAGATGCATCGTTAAAACACTCAGAAGCCCAAGTTCCATTGCTAACAGGAAACCGGGCCCAGTATAATAAAAACACACAGGACAACAACTGTCCATCACTGGCAAACCCATAGGCTAAACATATTATAGCAATACAATACAAGCTTATGTACAGTACAGTTTTCCCACTGACTTTACGTTTAAGTTCAGTTTTATTTGCTCATCTCATTGAATCGTCTCACAATAACTTCTTACAACTGTTATTTTCCCCATTATATAGACTTTAACCTCTTAAGGATCGGACCCTTTTTTTTCAATTTTCACCTAAAATGACATACCCTGCCTGTAGCTCAGAACTGCCTGTAGCTCAGGATCTGAAGCAAGGATATGCATATTCTTGATACCATTTGAAAGGAAACACTTTGAAGTTTGTGGAAATGTGAAATTAATGTAGGAGAATATAACACATTAGATCTGGTAAAAGATAATACAAACCATCTTTGAAATGCAAGAGAAAGGCCACAACATAATATTTCAGTTTAGGCGCAATTTAGACTTGTGTGTGCAAAGTCTCAGATTGATCCAGTGAAGCATTGCAATACTGGACTATTTTGTATCAAGTCTGCCCAAATGCGCCGAATTGGTCAATTGATACATTTTCAAGTACATAACTATAGAGAACATACAAAAATTATATGGTAATACAAAATGTACATTTACACACTCTCAGGAATGATGGATCATTAGCTTATACACTAACTTTCACACATCTAGATGGCCGGGCAGGGTGGATGTTGAGCCAGAGACAGCAAGGGTTCAAACTGTAGAACACAGTTCCTACATTTGAATATAAAAATTGATTTTATCAAACAAAACAATGCTACATTTTATCTCTGGGACCCTCAGGATGACAAATCAGAGCAAGATTACTGAATGTAAGTACATTATTTACCTTCAGAGGTGAATGTATCAAACCAGTTGCCGTGATACGTTTTTTTGTTGTTGTCCACTCTCCTCAAACAATAGCATGGTATTTTTTCACTGTAATATCTACTGTAAATTGGACAGTGCAGTTCGATTAACAAGAATTTAAGCTTTCTGCCCATTTAAGACATTTCTATGTCCTGGAAAGTTTGCTGTTACTTACAACAGTCATGCTAATCACATTAGCGCACGTTAGCTCAACCGTCACGTGTACGGGACACTGATCCCGTAGAGGTTAAGAGGTGAGTGGGGCTCTATGTTCAGAGAATGTCTTGTCCAGATCACTGAGCTCTTATTTGACCCTGGGTTCACAGTTGACTTGAGCTGTCTGCCTAAACACCAGGGTGCCAGGAGTTTAAATTAGACTTTCTCCTAGAGGTCACGGTGTCAGGAGCACAGACCTACTGGTTTTTCACACCATGCAGAAGGCATGAAGTAAACAAAATGCACTCCAACAGTTACGAAACTATGCCAAAACTAGGCAAAAATTACTGTTATTGTTGTCATTGGTAAGTTGTTGTTACAGTATTTCCATTGGCCATTAAGAAAAGCACAGTGGGTAAATTAAATTAAATAGTTTTATCAAACTTTATATAGTCATCTCAATAAGTTTGAATTTATTGTATTCTACACAAAAGGTGCAAGAGCATCCCAGTCCTGGCTTGTGTCCCTCCTGTGCCTTCCCAGCTGTTCCTATTTCAAAGGGGGGTGGGGTCTACACTTTCACTGTCATTGCCTGTATTTTAATACCTACATGAGTCTCTGCTCCTTCATTCCATGACAGACTACCAGTTGAGAAGAGGCTAAATCCTCACCGGAACACTCATTCCTCCCAGCTTGGTGATTTTGGAGAATCTTGGATACCATTGCTTTTGCTTGGACATTTTGTGAGTCACAGCAGGCGTTTTGTGTGTGTTAAAGTTGCATTTACAGCAGTAGCCTACCTGTTCCATTCCAACGGCCCGAGGTTCCATCCTACCCAGCGGCGTCCCCAGGTGAGTGAGCGAATCCCCGGGTGGGTACAGGTGAGTGGCATCCATGGAATTCGTTATCTGCAGTGATGCTGAAAATGTAATGGAGAGAGCATGTTTGTTTTATTCATCAGAATTCACTGACTGCATATCTATAGACCAGTGTAAGTGCGTTTTGTTTTACTACTCTATAGGCAAATAAATATTTTGGTCAACCAGGCAACATGACCCAGTAAGGAAATGCCTTTCTGATCCTTCATTAGCTGCGCTATGGGATTTTCGTTTCTGATGTTACCATCATATGGTATAATAAGAGTTGCCAATATGAGGTGTAGTTACATTTCAGTCATTTAGCAGACGCTCTTATCCAGAGCGACTTACAGTTAGAGAGTGCATACACTTTTTCATACTGGCCCCCCGTGGGAATCAAACCCACAACCCTGGCATTGCAAGCACCATGCTCTACCAACTGAGCTACAGAGGAGGTTAATTTATATCCACCTATACTGCTCAGTCATATCATATCAAAACTTGGTATGCACGACTGTGCAGTCACGGTACCCTACACTTTGAGAAAAACATTTTTTAAAGTAAAACTGTGACAATTATTATTACAACTTGTTAGTATTAGTGTTAGGCAAGTACATTACTGTAGTAGAAATTGCTGCAGCAGTTGCTGGTAGCCTATCTGTTTGTGCTGGACTAGATAATGATGATGGTTATCTTTTAAAAGTTTCTTGGGATAGGATGGAATTAGTCAAATCTATATTTGCCAACCTGTGTTTATTATGCTCATTGTTTGATGAAATGCTATTATTAAATTGCAGTTTAAAAAGTATAGCTTAAACAAAACTTGGCTTACTCTATCATTTAGTACAATTCATTACTTAGAAACTATCATCAAACAGGATAATATCCAACAAACCCACATCTCCCAGTTAAATTGTATATAATGATAATTGCAGTTAGTTCTAGATAATTTTTCTTCTTCTTTACAACCTGGTTATCAATGCAACGTTGTGTATTGTAGAGTGAGAGGGTGTGGAGGGTGCTAACTGGCTGTATGTGTGGGTGCACAGTGGAGCCACAGCCTGGAGGTGAAGAAGCAGGAGAAACTGCTAACAGTATCAAAGTCCACATCTGCTTCCAATTGAGAAGGAACAAGAAGCTGCTGTGTCTTAATCTGAATATGTGCTCAAGCTGTCACTCAACTCACTTCCAGCCACAGAGCCAGCCACAACTGCTCTCTTCTCTTCACTCACTCTGAATGTGTGTCGCTCACTCTCCCTCTCTCTTCCTTCCTCTCTCTTCCTCTCTCTCTCCCCCTTCCTCTATCTCTCCCCCTTCCTCTCCCACCTCTTTCTCCCCTCTTGTAGAATTTACTTAACTTGGTGGAACTTGATGTGGACCAGATTCATTCATGTAGAAATGAACTGACCAAATTTTGTTTCGTCAAAGAGTTTGTCTTTTTGGATGTAGAGCTCATTAGAACAATACCCAGTATTCTTTGCAACTGCACCTTAAAAACTGTGAAATCTTATGTTTCACCGAGTCATGGCTGAACGACGACATGGATAACATACAGCTGGAGGGCTATACGCTGCATCGGCAAGATAGAATAGCTGCCTCCGGTAAGACAAGGGGTGGCGGTCTGTGTATATTTGTAAACAACAGCTTGTGCACAAAATCTAATATTAAGGAAGCCTCAAGGTTTTGCTCGCCTGAGGTAGAGTATCTCATGATACGCTGTAGACCACACTATTTACCAAGATAGTTTTCATCTATATTTTTCGTAGCTGTCTATTTACCACCACAAACCGATGCTGGCACTAAGACTACACTCAATGAGCTGTATAAGGCCATAAGCAAACAGGAAAACGCTCATCCAGAGGGGGCCCTCCTAGTGGCTGGGGACTTTAATGCAGGGAAACTTAAATCCGTTTTACCTAATTTCTACCAACATGTTAAATGTGCAACCAGAAGAAAAAAAAAACTCTAGACCAGCTTTACTCCACACACAGAGACGCGTACAAAGCTCTCCCTCGCCCTCCATTTGGCAAATCTGACCATAACTCTATCCTCCTGATTCCTGCTTACAATAAAACTAAAACAGGAAGCACCAGTGACTCAGTCAATAAAGAAGTGGTCAGATGACGCAGATGCTAAACTACACAACTGTTTTGCTTGCACACATGGAATATGTTCAAGGATTCTTCCGATGGCATTGAGGAGTACACCACATCAGTCACTGGTTTCATCAATAAGTGCATCGATGACATCTTCCCCACAGTGACCGTATGTACATACCCCAACCAGAAGCCATGGATTACAGGCAACATCCACACTGAGCTAAAGTGTAGTGCCGCTTTCAAGGACTCTAACCCGGACGCTTATAAGAAATCCCGTTATGCCCTCCGACGAACTATCAAACAGGCAAAGCGTCAATACAGGACTAAGATAGAATCGTACTACATCGGCTTTGATGCTCGTCGGATGCGGCAGGGCTTGCAAACTATTACAGACAACAATGGAAAGCACAGCTGTGCGCTGCCCAGTGACACGAGCCTACCAGAAGAGTAAATAACTACTAAATTACTTCTATGCTCAATTTGAGACAAGCAACACTGAAGCATGCATGACAGCATCAGCTGTTCCGGATGACTATGTGATCACGCTCTCCATAGCCGATGTGAGTAAGACCTTTAAACAGGTCAACATTCACAAGGCCGCAGAGCCAGACAGACTTTTAAAGATTTTTAAGTTCTTATTTACAATGACGGCCTACAGCAGCCAAACCCGGACGACGCTGGGCCAATTGTGCGCAGCCCTATGGGACTCCCAATCACGGCCGTTTGTGATACAGCCTGGAATCAAACCAGGGGGTCTGTATTGACGCCTCAAGCACTGAGATGCAGTGCCTTAGACCGTTGCGCCACTCGGGAGCCCAGGTCGTGTACTTCGAGCATGCGCTGACCAACTGGCATGTGTCTTCACTGACATTTTCAACCTGTTCCTGACTGAGTCTGTAATACCAACATGTTTCAAGCAGACCACCATAGTCCCTGTGCCCAAGAACACTAAGGTAACCTGCAGCCATGATGTGCTTTGAAAGGCTGGTCATGGCTCACATCAACTCCATTATCCCAGAAACCCTAGACCCACTCCAATTTGCATACCGCCCCAACAGATCCACAGATGATGCAATCTCTATTGCACTCCACACTGCCCTTTCCAACCTGGACAAAAGGAACACCTACGTGAGAATGCTATTCATTGACTACAGCTCAGCGTTCAACACCATAGTGCCCTCAAAGCTCATCACTAAGCTAAGGACCCTGGGACTAAACACCTCCCTCTGCAACTGGATCCTGGACTTCCTGACGGGCCGCCCCCACAGGTGGTAAGGGTAGGTAACAACACATTTGCTACACTGATCCTCAACACGTGGGCCCCTAAGGTGTGTTTGCTTAGTCCCCTACTGTTCACCCATGACTGAATGGCCAGGCACGACTCCAAAATCATCATTAAGTTTGCAGACGGCACAACAGTGGTAGGCCTGATCACCGACAACGATGAGACAGCCTATAAGGAGGAGGTCAGAGACCTGGCCATGTGGTGCCAGGATAACAACCTCTCCCTCAACGTGATCAAGATGAAGGAGATGATTATGGACTACAGGAAAAAGAAGAGGACCGAGCACGCCCCCATTCTCATCGACGGGGCTGTAGTGGAGCAGGTTGAGAGCTTCAAGTTTCTTGGTGTCCACATCACCAACAAACTATCATGGTCCAAACACACCAAGAGAGTCGTGAATAGGGCACGACAAAGCCTAGTCCCCCTCAGGAGACTGAAAAGATTTTGCATGGGTCCTCAGATCCTCAAAAGGTTCTACAGCTGTACCATAGAGAGCATCCTGACTGGTTACATCACTGCCTGGTATGGCAACTGCTTGGCCTCCGACCGCAAAGCATTATAGAGGGTAGTTTGTACGGCCCAGTACATCACTGGGGCCAAGCTTCCTGTCATCCAGGACCTCTATACCAGGCGGTGTCAGAGGAAGGCCCTAAAAATGGTCAAAGACTCCAGCCACCCTAGTCATAGACTGTTCTCTCTGCTACTGTACGGCAAGCAGTACCGGAGCGCCAAGTCTTGGTCCAAAAGGCTTATTAACAGATTCTACCCACAAGCCATAAGACTCCTGAACAGCTAATCAAATAGCTACCCGGACTATTTGCATTGCAACCCCCCCACCCCACCCCTCCCCCTCTTTTACGCTGCTGCTACTCTCTGTTTATTATCTATGCATAGTCAATTTAACTCTACCTACATGTGCATATTACCTAAATTCCCTCGACTAACCTGTGCCCCCACACATTGACTCTGTACCGGTACCCTCTGTATATAGCCTCACTACTGTTATTTTACTGCTGCTCTTTAATTATTTGTTATTTTAATTTTTTACAAATCAATTTTTTACTTAACACATATTTTTCCTTAAAACTGCATTGTTGGTTAAGGGCTTGTAAGTAAGCATTTCACTCTAAGGTCTACACTGATTGTATTCGGCACATGTGACAAATAAGATTTTATTTGATTTATGGGGGAGGGGAATGGGCAGGGCAAATGCAATTTGTGTAGTATAGTATACTATATAGTACAGTTCTACAGTATACTACAACATTATATAGTAAGCACTACACGATCAAGGGATAATACAGTGTGTAATATAGTTTTCTACAGTATACTACAAAATTCTATAGTACGTACTACACATGATCAAGGGATACTAGAGTGTATAGCATACTACAATTTACTACATAATACTATAGAATGCTATAGAAAGCACTATAGTATTTTTTTTAATAAACAGTAGTATTTTGTTATGTGGGGCAGATGGGAGCATAAAGCTCCCTACTGAAATCTTCACCATACCATCCATTGTTAATTGGAAATAAAACTTTGAATGTAAAGAAGTGCTTCATTTAGTAGCTAGGACTAACAAAACTCAAAGAGCTAGAACTGACACAATTGATTCATTTGGGAGGTACTTGAGTTTAAACATGATTACCTGAATACCTGAATACATTTTGTCAATCTGACATAATAATTTATCATTATTATTTCTCAATTTAATAGTGTTTCAATAACACAATTAAATTAAGATCTGTATTAATAATTTAATGTAAAAATAACCTGTTTCTAATTAACTGTAACTGTTGTCTAAAATTGAATTAAGTAGATCCAAATACTTTTTTTGTGTGTAAATCCTTCTAGAAAGGACCACTATTTTGCATGTCACAAAAAGATTTCATATGTGCCAATGTCAACACTACATCCTTCCTTCTTCGTTTTCTTTCCCCAAGTGTCCTATTCATTGCATTATTACTGCTCTAGTATTTAACATCAAATATGATTAAATAAATGATATATGCTATTCACAACAAATACCATCACATAATATAGAATTCCACCACCCATATAGGCATAGTATTAGTCCATTCAGTGAGGTGGAATAGTAAAGTGCACTACATTTTTTTCTTAATGCCTAATTATATGTTGTGCTGGAGAGTAGGGGGCCAGGGAGTATGGGTGCTGCTGTGTTGGTGAGGTTGTAGTGGGTGTAGTGTATGTGAGTGGAGTGGAGCGGAGCGTGCCCAATTTGACTGGAGCGCGGAGAGAGATTCCCAAAGACTGGAGCGCCGGCTTTCTCGCCCGCTCCTATTTCGCTCCAGTAGCACTCCAAGTAGGCCTACTTCACGAGCTCAGGGCATGCCATCATGCATGTGTAGTCTACTTGTGTGCTGCTATAGCCCCTTGCTTTAGCTACTGTCATGGAGCTCGTTAAATACAGTGCATTCGGAAAGTATTCAGACCCCTTGAAATGTTCCATGACAGTAGCTAAAGCAAGGGGCTAAAGCAGCACACAAATTGATTAAATCGTTTTTTTCTCATAAATCTACACACAATACCCCATACTGACAAAGCAAAAACAGGTTTTTAGAAATTGTAGCAAATATATATATATATGCAAAAAAATAAAAATGATACCACATTTACATAAGTATTCAGACCCTTTACTCAGTACTTTGTTGAAGGACCTTTGGCAGTGATTACAGCCTCGAGTCTTCTTGGGTATGAAGCTACAAGATTGGCACACCGAGTTTCTCCCATTCTTCTCTACAGATCCTCTCAAGCTCTGTCAGGTTGGATGGGGAGCGTCGCTGCACAGCTTTTACAGGTCTCTCCAGAGATGTTCAGTCGGGTTGAAGTCCGGGCTCTGGCTGGGCCACTCAAGAACATTCAGAGACTTGTCCCGAAGCCACTCCTGTGTTGTCTTGGCTGTGTGCTTAGGGTCGTTGTCCTGTTGGAAGGTGAACCTTCGCCCCAGTCTGAGGTCCTGAGCGGTCTGGAGCAGGTTTTCATCAAGGATTTCTCTGTACTTTGCTCCGTTCATCTTTCCCTCAATCCTAACTAGTCTCCCAGACCCTGCTGCTGAAAAACATCCCCACAGCATGATGCTGCCACCACCATGCTTCACCGTAAGGATGGTGCCAGGTTTCCTCCAGACGTGACACTTGACATTCAGGCCAAAGAGTTCAATCTTGGTTTCATCAGACCAGAGAATCTTGAGTCCTTTGGGTGCCTTTTGGCAAACTCCAAGCGGGCTGTCATGTGCCTTTTAATGAGGAGTGGCATCCGTCTGGCCACTCTATCATAAAGGCCTGATTGGTAGAGTGCTGCAGAGATGGTTGTCCTTCTGGAAGGTTATCCCATCTCCACAGAGGAACTCTGGAGCAATGTCAGAGTTACCATTGGGTTCTTGGTCACCTCCCTGAACCAAGGCCCTTCTTCCCCGATTGCTCAGTTTGGCCTGGCGGCAAGCTCTAGGAAGAGTCTTGGTGGTTCCAAACTTCTTCCATTTAAGAATGATGGAGGCCACTGTGTTCTTGGGGACCTTCAATGCTGCAGACATTTTTTGGTACCCTTCCCCAGATCTGTGCCTCGACACAGTCTTGTCTCGGAGCTCTATGGACAATTCCTTTGACCTCATGGCTTGGTTTTTGCTCTGACATACACTGTCAACTGTGGGACCTTATACAGACAGGTGTGTGCCTTTTCAAATCATGTCCAATCAATTGAATTTACCACAGGTGGACTCCAATCAAGTTGTAGAAACATCTGAAGGATGATCAATGGAAACAGGATGCACCTGAGCTCAATTTCGAGTCTCATAGCAAAGGGTCTGAATACTTATGTAAATAAGTGTATCTGTTTTTTATGTTTAATACAGTTGCAAAACATTTTACAAACCAGTGTTTGCTTTGTAATTATGGGGTATTGTGTGTAGATTGATGAGGATTTCTATTGATTTGATCAATTTTAGAATAAGGCTGTAACGTAACAAAATTTGAAAAAAGGGAAGGGGTCTGAATACTTTCCGAATGAACTGTGTTTTCATGAAGAAGCTGATAAAACACAGATGTGCTTAAGATAAGGACCAAGAGCAAGAGAGGGAGTGCGGTGATGTAGTGTCCACAACTAAAGAATCATTGTGGAATCTGAAAAGTACAACGTGCACATGCTAAAAGAAATGAACAAGGTGGGTAGATAACTAATTGTTTCATTGTAGCAAAGTATTTATGAACTAAAAATCAGATCTCTTAAACATTTAGTTTATTTTTGTTCTATTGTCTATACAATAGGCCATCATTGATTTTGGCACAATAGTCCTGGCATATTCTCACGTTCAAAGAGCTTTCCATTTTGATTGGGTTATTTTGCCTAAAAACCTTTAGGCCTACCTATAATACAATATATTTTAAAAAACTGCATCTCTGCCCAGCCTGACAAGAGTGGCCAATGGGGTGTTTAGCATCCCCAGTGGCTCTGCAAGTGTGGAGAGGATATTCTCCGCTGCTGGCCTGTTCTCCAGGCACCATGAGCCTGAAGCCACAGACTGGCCAAACTTTTAAAAAATGAATTCAAAAGGCACTAATAAGTAATTTTTCGTTTAATTTGTATTGCATTCTAAGTAAGTCACAGCTTATATTTGCAATGTATAGACTATAATGATTTAATACAACTAAATGTTGTTTAAATGCTGAGCCCTTTATGTCCCTACCAGACTATTGTGTCGCACTCGCAAATGCTTCACAATGTATTTCTATGTAGGCTATAGCCTTGAAATAATATAGCCTAAATAATTCATTTTAGTTCCTTCTTAGGGTCCCTGTCTGGCTCCTGACCTATTTAGAGTGTTTATATGCTGTTTAATATGACATGTAGCCTTTTTGAAATGATCATTCCCCTTTTCATGTTTATTCAAATACTTTTCATAAAAATCATATGGTTTGGTTTCAATACTTCAAAACCAAATGGTAGGTCCAGGTAGTCACAAAAATGGGTGTTGGTTAAATTGTGGTTTTAATGAATGGAGAGAATTTGGAGCAGCAGTTTTTTTTCCCTGCGAGTGCCGAGCAGTTTTTAGCGGAGCGGAAAGTACGTGGAGCGCCAGAGTGCACACTGCTCCATGAGTGATGAGCGGGATTTCCAACAGCTCCTCCGCTCACATACTCTGGTAGTGGGGCACACTGAGGCTTCTTTGTACTTGCACACACACATGCACAGGGTTACAGCAGGAAGCTTCTGAAACACACGTCTAGAGTTAGTTCTGCACTGGGTCTGAGAGGAGAACCAAGTGAGACTGATCAAGACCACAATGCATAAGGGTTTCTCTGAGCTCTTTGCAAGGGCCTGATCTATCTTTCTCATCACACTTAGTTCTGTCTGTATCCCTCTTTTCTTTATTCCATCGCTCTCTTGCTATCTATGAAATTAGTCTGTGGGATTTCACATACGTCTTCATATCAGAAGGCTGATGTCAATTGGCATCAGTTTAATGGTTCACTAAAACAGCTGCCAAGTAGGCATAGCACACTCCACAGTTGTTGTCTTTGATGTGGTATCGGTCTACTCTCTCTGAGGAAGTTGCTTCCATTGGGCATTCACAAATTGACCAAAATGAGGCCAATGAATGACCACAACCACTTTCCAAGGTACGGTTATCTAAGTGATAACGATAAACCTCACCAGGACCCCTCTCTCAGGACCCAAGAAGAGAAGTGCTTTTTGTAATGCCCATTTCGCATAAACATGACCCAGACATTGTTATTTTCCAGCGATTACTCCTGTGCAGCGTTTGAACCCTTGCCTGCGGTGATGTGAAGGATTAGTCCTGTGTGCAGCTGTCTATTAGGATAGGACTGACTCCTGTATACCTCCGCCATCTGTTTGGCGTCAAGGGTTTTTATGGCAGATCTGGGCAGGAATGTGCTGGTGGTAAAGTACCCGTAGATGTCTCTGACATGTTTTGTTCTGTGTTCTCTCGTTGCAGTGCAGTGTGAAGCCTGCCTAAACCCAGCTCTTACCCAGCCCTGAGAGGTCCGGCTCCCAGCCTGAACATGAGACAGCTGTGTGTCTGTGTGTCTGTCCTGCTATCCTTGGCCCTGGCTGTGGCTAGGCCAAAAGCAGGTTAGCCAAATCCAACTGTGAAGTAATAAAATGACCATGCATGCATTACAGTTTGGCACACGTTCAATTGCTTCTTGCCTCATAATTTTTTCTTAGATTCAATCAGAATGAGAACCGGCATTGTGAGGAAGTTAATGAAATGAATACAAAATGACTGTTTACTTGTACGTAGATAATGTCATATTCATGTAGCTTGTGATGAACTTGCAGCTAATTTTCAACTCTGGCTTCATACATTCTCACATCGCCCAATCCAGCACCGGAGCAGAAGTGCAAGTCCGGTCCAGTGGACCTGGTGTTCGTTATTGACAGCTCTCGCAGTGTGCGACCCCACGAGTTCGAGACCATGCGCAAGTTCATGATCGACATCATCCACACACTGGACGTGGGGGCGAACGCCACCCGGGTGGGCGTGGTGCAGTACTCCAGCCAGGTCCACAACCTCGTATCATATTCTTAATTGATCTGTGTTTTTACACCTTAGCGAAGAACTACGCTTGGAAAGGGAAGATAGTTCTTGGCATGTATTTCTTATCTTGTCTTCCATTTTCAATCGCAGTCTTGTAGCTCCACAAACAAAGTCTAGAGAACTATAGCTAAAGGCTAAAAGCTTTTGCGATGCACATGTTTTTTTCCTAGGGTTTAACTAAACAGTTTTTTCCACTGGTAAAGACTCAGTTGTACCTAAATAGAGATAGTTAGACATGCAAACCCTGCACATGAAGAGGTGACTGAATCTTTGCATGCTTCTATGACTCTAGGTCCAGAACGAATTCTCTCTCAAGACCCACGCCAAGCTGCAGGGCATGGTGAAAGGCATCAATGAGATCATCCCCTTGGCGCAGGGCACCATGACGGGCCTGGCCATCAAGTACGTCATGAACCATGCCTTCACGGCACCTGAGGGTGACAGACCCAAGGTGCCCAATGTGGCTGTCATTGTAACGGACGGGCGGCCCCAGGACCGCGTGGCGGAAGTGGCGGCCGAGGCTCGGGACAAGGGCATTGAGATCTACACGGTAGGCGTGGCCCGGGCGGATATGACCTCGCTGCGCGCCATGGCATCGCCGCCCTTCGAGGATCATGTCTTCCTGGTGGAGTCCTTTGACCTGATACACCAGTTTGGCCTGCAGTTCCAGGACAAGCTCTGCGGTGGGTTGGGTTGATATGCAATATTATTGAATTATCATCAAATGTGTGTTCAGCGATATACGCGATTTACGCAATTATCAAGATACCACTCAGTTTCAATAGTATTGAGAAAATCGCACTTTACAGTTGCTGAAGTGTCAAGGTCACCAGTGTTCACAAAGGTATGTATTCGTACCTGAGACTTTTAAAGCTTGTAAAATGTTAATTTATCCTCATAAACTCAACTCATTTTCAGCTCTCGCTATAAGTTACATCCTTGGCAGCACAATATCAAGCATTTGATTATAATTAACATGCATCACTAGCTTTAGGGAACTTGATAATCTTTCAAAACAGTATGAGCAAATCCTTGATATTTCCTAATGCCAATGTTAGAGTGATTAAAGGTAGATTTTTTTGCTCAATTGCTGGGGTTCCAGGGATGGATCTATGCCTGGAGTCTGAGCATGACTGCGAGCACCTCTGTGAGAGCTCCCCTGGTTCTTTCCACTGCCTGTGTCTACCAGGGTACACTCTCAACAAGGATGGCAAGACCTGCACAGGTAGGCTGTCCATTGGGCTAGACATGAGCCAACGTAATAGTTACAAAATAAATAATGAACGATATATAATGTCAGTCAAGTGCATGCATAACTGTAGTGTATACAATTTCATCACAGCACTTGGATTTAACAGTAACTGGGCCTGGTTCTTGCATACAGTACCAGTCAAAAGTTTGGCCACACCTACTCATTCAAGAGTTTCACTTTATTTTCACTATTTTCTACATTGTAGAATAATAGTGAAGACATCAAAACTATGAAATAACACATATGGAATCATGTAGTAACAAAAAAGTGTTAAACTAGATTCTTCAAATCAGCCACCCTATGCCTTGATGACAGCTTTGCACACTTTTGGCATTCTCTCAACCAGCTTCATGAGGAATGCTTTTCCAACAGTTTTGAAGGAGTTCCCACATATGCTGAGCACTTGTTGGCTGCTATTCCTTCACTCTGTGGTCCAACTCATCCCAAACTATCTCAATTGGGTTGAGGTCGGGTGATTGTGGAGGCAAGGTCATCTGATGCAGCACTCCATCACTCTCCTTCTTGGTCAAATAGCCCTTACACAGCTTGGAGGTGTGTTTTGGGTCATTGTTCTGTTGAAAAACAAATGATAGTCCCACTAAGCGCAAACCAGAAGGGATGGCTTATCGCTGCAGAATGCTGTGGTAGCCATGCTGGTTAAGTGTGCCATGATTTCTAAATACATTACCGACAGTGTCACCAACAAAGCACCCCCACACTATCACACCTCCTCTTCCATGCTTCACGGTGGGAACCACACATGCAGAGATCATCTGTTCACCTACTCTGCGTCTCACGAAGACAAATTTGGACTCATCAGACCAAAGGACAGATTTCCACCAGTCTATGTCCAATGCTCGTGTTTCTTGGCCCAAGCAAGTCTCTTCTTCTTATTGGTGTCCTTTAGTAGTGGTTTCTTTGCAGCAATTCAAACATGAAGGCCTGATTCACACAGTCTCCTCTGAACAGTTGATGTTGAGATGTGTCTGTTACTTGAACTCTGTGAAGCATTTATTTGGGCTGCAATCTGAGGTGCAGTTAACTCTACTGAACTTTTCCTCTGCAGCAGAGGTAACTCTGGGTCTTCCTTTCCTGTGGTTGTCCTCATGAGAGCCAGCTTCATCATAGCGCTTGAAGGTTTTTGCGACTGCACAAGTTCTTGAACATTTCCGGATTGACTGACCTTTCATGTCTTAAAGGAATGATGGACTGTCATTTCTCTTTGCTTATTTGAGCTGTTCTTGCCATAATATGGACTTGGTCTTTTACCAAATAGGGCTATCTTCTGTATACCACCCCTACCTTGTCACAACACAACTGATTGGCTCAAACGCATTAAGAAGGAAAGAAATTACACAAATTAACTTTTAACAAGGCACACCTGTTAATTTAAGTGCATTCCAGGTGACTACCTCATGAAGCTGGTTGAGAGAATGCCAAGAGTGTGCAAAGCTGTCATCAAGACAAAGGGTGGCTACTTTGAAGATTCTCAAAAATAAAATATATTTTGATTTGTTTAACACTTTTTTGGTTACTACACGGCAGGTAGCTTAGTGGTTAAGAGCATTGTGCCAGTAACCGAAAGGTCGCTGGTTCTTATCCCCGAGCCGACTAGGTGAAACATCTGTCGATGTGCCCTTGAGCAAGGCACTTAACCCTAATTGCTCATGTAAGTCGCTCTGGATAAGAGCGTCTGCTAAATGACTAAAATGTAAATGTAAATATATGTGTTATTTCATAGATTTAATGTCTTCACTATTATTCTACAATGTAGAAAATAGTAAAAATAAAGAGAAACCCTTGAATGAGTCGGTGTGTCCAAACATTTGACTGGTACTGTATATCAATGGGACATTTGTGAGAAAGTTTTAACTGTGAGCATGTAGCCTAGGGGCTCTATTCAATATGCATTGCGGCATTTCAGCTTTACAGCGTGATTGAAATTTAAAGGCAATGTTCCATCTTAAGCAGAGACTGCATTCACGGTAAACACTGCATATGTCGGCTCAATCGGAAACTATCATTACATTTCTATCACAGATTCTTTAACACTTCAGATTGAATAGAGCCTTATGTCAAATTAGGATCCAGCAGTTACAGACTTAGCAGCAACTGTGATTTTTGTATCTTTGTATGATACAGCCATAGACCTGTGTGCTGAGGGGAAGCATGACTGTGAGCAGATCTGTATCCCCTCCCCTGGAGCCTTCACCTGCGGCTGCAACACTGGCTACACCCTCGATGACGACAAGAAGACCTGCACAAGTTAGTGAGGCCATCATCAGGCCAAACAATATAATGCAATAAAAGAAACATGGTTAGCATAATCCATCCAAACCCATAGACCAGTGGTCACCAACCTTTTCTGAGTCAAGATCACTTTTTGAGTCAAATTGCAAGCCGAGATCTACCGCTCAGATTTTTTTCAAACATTACTTAAAAAACTTAACCCTATGCAACATTAACCAATTAAAAACAGTTCTGTAGCAATGAGGTTTGTGTTGTGCAGTAAGCTATAGGCCCAATACATTATCACTGCATATTGGCTATGCCTGAATTACCCTGCTAATGTTGTTCTTCTCAGACCATTTAGAAATTATATTAAAACATTTTAGGTATATGAATTAGGTATATGATGACACAGGTAATAGATCATTAGTTGTATTACTTCTGAGGCACAGCTGAGTGTGCATAATAATTCATTTGTAGGAACACTTTGCTATACTCATTCATTGGAGTTTTCCAGCATTGAATTTGGCCTTACTGCTATTAGCCCATAGAAACGCATTGAATAACAGCTTCTTACATGGATAAACAGATAGTCCCCATGTATTGAACCACTTATTTTAGGTACTAAAAGAACATATGGAAACTTCTACCTTCTTGAATGCCAACAGGTCACTGCGCAATAGCGAGCAGTAGAATAATAATGAAGACATCAAAACTATGAAATAACACACATGGAATCATGTAGTAACCAAAAAAGTGTTAAACAAATCAAAATATATTTTATATTTGAAATTCTTCAAATAGCCACCCTTTGCCTTGATGACAGCTTTGCACACTCTTGGCATTCTCTCAACCCGCTTCATGAGGTAGTCACATGGAATGAATTTCAATTAACAGGTGTGCCTTGTTAAAAGTTAATTTGTGGAATTTCTTTCTTTCTTAATGCGTTTGAGCCAATCAGTTGTGTTGTGACAAGGTAGGTGTGGTATACAGAAGATAGTCCTATTTGGTAAAAGACCAAGTCCATATTATCGCAAGAACAGCTCAAATAAGCAAAGAGAAACGACAGTCCATCATTACTTTAAGACATGAAAGGTCAGTCAATGCGGAAATTTCAAGAACTTTGAACGTTTCTTCAAGTGCAGTTGCAAAAACCATCAAGCGCTATGATGAAACTGGCTCTCATGAGGACCGCCACAGGAAAGGAAGCCCCAGAGTTACCTCTGCTGCAGAGCATAAGTTCATTAGAGTTACCAGTCTCAGAGATTGCAGCCCAAATAAATGCTTCTCAGAGTTCAAGTAACAGACACATCTCAACATCAACTGTTGTCTTCACTATTATTCTACAATGTAGAAAATAGTAAAAATAAAGAAAAACCCTTGAATGAGTAGGTGTGTCCAAACTTTTGACTGGTACTGTACTTCCATAAAAAACAATTCACTGGTACCCGGCTACCTTCAGACTCGTCTTGTAGGCGTCATAGAGCAAAACAACCGACACGTACGTGTTCGTGAGAGACTCACCTTTCCACCATATTAGTGTGTAGCCCAAACGGTTTAGACGCTACAGACGCTTTCGTTAGAAGACCGATTTTCGGGATGTCTCATGGTCTGACAAACATTGCTCTAGCGCTGACATCTTTCACCGCAGATGCAGAAGGGCTACACTGGCGGATGTGGTGGATTGAGACGCAGCCCATGCAAAATACCAGATACTGTATCTCTAGCTTAAACTGACAGATTTTTATGGGGAGTTTTTTATTATGCTAATTAGATTTCCACGGGGCCATCGACTCTAGGGAGTTTTAAACATGAACTTACTCATAAAACTCATGCAGACACAATGATCTGAGCTATCTGATTGGCCAGCGGTAGGCCTATAGGTGCACTTGATTTGTTCTCTGGGCCTGCCGGGTAGGCGGAGTTCTACCTTCATACACATGAAATGGTTCAAAATGGGAACACATTGCTTTCCCCTTGCAAGGGCTGCTGAATCAAGTGCACCTACTGCCAACAAAGCGAAACTAGTAAATTTTTGTTTAACGCAAAGGGTTTTACCTAGCACCAAAAAGGTTCCCCTATAGGGACAAACCGATGAACCCTACATGGTTCTACTTAGCACCTTTTTTAATAAGAGTGTACTTCAACTGTGATACCCCATCTGATCCAAAAATATAAGCTTGATTTACACTATTGTTTGTAAAGAATGTAATAATAGCCTCAAAACATGGTTAAAACTAGATTTTGATCTCATGGATGGTCAGTCCTTACATCCATAGCTCTGTCAATTAATTACATTTCTCCATCCTTCAGCTGTTTACCAAAACAGTAGCAGGGCGACCACTTTGTTTTTGTTTGATCTGCAGATTGCCCATTTAACCCCTCCCCCCCAGTTACTACATAATGTGTTACAAAGTATCTATAACCGTATCTGTGTGACACAATCACCAATGTCAAATGTGACATAACATGTGCTTTATAAAGGGTGACATGTTATGCTGAAGGATGGCACACGCTCTAAAGTGAAGTCGTGTTAGTCACATTACACCTAATCTCGTTCCCAGACACTTCCACCCAAATGCGCGGAAGGTCTGGTGGACGAACGCATCAATCTTGGCCTTCATTAGATAGGGTTAGGTTTACAATAAAATGTTAAGAAGAGAAATTGTGGAAATGGGCAGGGTTCAGCCATAATTAATACTTTGTGGCTGTGTTAACTCGTGATGACCAGGGGGAATGTTTTTGCTATCAAAGGACATAGCCTGATGACAAATACTTTACTCAGTAGTCACTCCCATAACATTCTGTGGTCACTCCCACTAAGGCCAACTTTGAATGGTTGATATCCCAGGCTTATGTGTGCTGTGTGCACAATAGCCTGGGGACAGCGTTACACCAAGAAACACTTACCTTGATGAAAGCCTCCAACATAAGGAAATTGAAAGTGGCTTTCTTCTGGAACCAAGTTACATGTTTTTCAGTACACAAATATGCAGCCAACAATATAACGAACCATACCATGCGGTGCTGGGCCGTCAGGTCTTTGACACATTCACCCACTCCCCCGCTCAAAGATCAGCCACAAAATGTTGCCACCATTGTAACAGGTTGTAATCAAGCCCTGGTCTCCTGTAGATCGTGAGAACCTTCATAAATCAGCAGAACATTAATAACCTATTAATTGACACTTTATGTAGTGTCCTGTAATACTTCGTTTGAAGTGAGACACCTTCGGTCAATCATAACACATCCATAAAGACTCTATATTGCATGACGCTGAACTTACTTTAAAGTTCCACCACTTTGGTCATTTATAACACATACATAAATGCCTTGTATCATATAAAGCTGTACTTACTATAAAGTCAGACACCTTTGGTCATTCATAACACATACATAAAGACTTACTTGATGTAAATACAAATGTATTAACACTTAGGGAATTATCACTAACAGCTAAAACAAATAACATTTAAACCATACATTTTATTTTTATTTTTAAATGTTTTAAACAATACAAAAATACATTAAGTTTCAAGAAGTCCAGCAATACATTTACATTGAACATTACACGGGGTTGTGAATAGTGTACATTGTCCCTGAGCTGGATCCAACCTTAAAAGTAACAGCAAAGAAAGTTAGCAGGTCTGTAAGGAAATGCCTTGTCACACCATCTGGATAAGGTCATTTCTGTGCTGCGCCAGAAATATTCTAAATGGGGAGATGAAGAACCTCCATTCGATTCGTATTATTATATTCATCATTCATTTACACATTTCATGGCGTGACTATGAGACGTGGCTGTATAAAGTGCATTCGGAAAGTATTCAGACCCCTTGACTTTTTCCAAATTTTGTTACGTTACAGCCTTATTCTGAAATGGATTAAATGAATGTTTTTCCTCATCAATCTACAAACAATACCCCATAATGACAAAGCAAAAACAGGTTTTGAGAATTTTTGCAAATGTATTAAAAATAAAAAAACAGAAATACTTTATTTACATAGGTATTCAGACCCTTTGCTATGAGAATCAAAACTGAGCTCAGGTGCATCCTTTTTCCATTGATCATCCTTGAGATGTTTCTACAACTTGATTGGAGTCCACCTGTGTAAATTCAATTGATTGGACATGATCTGGAAAGGCACACACCTGTTTATATAAGGTCCCACAGTTGACAGTGCATGTCAGAGCAAAAACCAAGCCATGAGGTCGAAGGAATTGTCCGTAGAGCTCCGAGACAGGATTGTGTCGAGGCACAGATCTGGGGAAGTGTACCAAAAAATGTCTGCAGCATTGAAGGTGCCCAAGAACACAGTGGCTTCCATCATTCTTAAATAGAAGAAGTTTGGAGCAACCAAGACTCTTCCTAGAGCTGGCCGCATGGCCAAACTGATCAATCGGGGGAGAAAGGCCTTGGTCAGGGAGGTGACCAAGAACCCAATGGTAACTCTGACAGAGCTCCAGAGTTCCTCTGTGGAGATCGGAAAACCTTAGAGAAGGAAAACCATCTCTGCAGCACTCCACCAATCCGGCCTTTATGATAGAGTGGCCACTCCTCATTAAAAGGCACATGACAGCCCGCTTGGAGTTTGCCAAAAGGCACCTAAAGGACTGTCAGACATTGAGAAACAAGATTCTCTGGTCTGATGAAACCAACATTGAACTCTTTGGCCTGAATGCCAAGCGTCACGTCTGGAGGAAACCTGGCACAATCCCTACGGTGAAGCATGGTGGTGGCAGCATCATGCTGTGGGGATGTTTTTCAGCGGCAGGGACTGGGAGACTAGTCAGGATCGAGGGAAAGATGAATGGAGCAAAGAACAGAGAGATCCTTGATGAAAACCTGCTCCAGACCGCTCAGTACCTCAGACTGGGGCGAAGGTTCACCTTCCAACAGGAAAACAGCCCTAAGCACCCAGCCAAGACAACGCAGGAGTGGCTTTGGGACAAGTCTCTAAATGTCCTTGAGTGGCCCAGCCAGAGCCCGAACTTGAACCCGATTGAACATCTTTGGAGAGACCTGAAAAT